CGGCTTCTGCACATCAGCTTCCAGAAGCAGAGAGGAGAACAACCCTGACATCACTGTCCTTCCCTTCATTTCCAGATGGCTTCATGATGGGGAAAGTAGCTGTGCTGTTCAATTCCCCATCTGCCCTGACCTCTTCCTATAAGATGCTGATCTACTGACAACCCATGCGGCTCACCTATCCATACAGTTTTGGGTTCACCAGCATACACAGAAGGAAGCTCACTGATGAAGTCCTGGATTCAGGTCTGAACATGCAGTAAAACATACCCAAAATAGTGCTACCAAGGAATAGGACCCAAATTGATGAATTTATTATAGAGGGCAAAACAAAACAATGACCTCTGTAAATGTGGGAGCAAACAACACTGTACTCACACCGCCCAAATCCTACTCATGTGCAATGCCTCAACAGCTCTGAGGCATTACTTTAGATACCTTTCAAAGATGACCTCTTAATTCATGTTATTCTATGGCTTTTAATGCTACAAAGCGTGCAACAAACAAATGAAGAACCTAAAGAAAACCATGCCAAGCCCCAAAAGGACTGTTCAGAAGTACTTTCTGCAACATGGTTCCCAAGGTAGTGAATTGAAATATCAGTCAGCCTCCACAAGTTTGCTTTAAATGGTTCCCGAGAACAAAAGGTCAGTTCAGAAAGACTCTTCTGGCCCAATTTAAGATCAGAACAATCAAGTTATATGAAATAATACTCTGCCTTAAAACTTCAGACAATAAAGTTTCAAAGGTATATAAAGGTTCTCCAACATTTTAATGTCTAACAGGCTATAAACTACTGTGCTACTCTGCTCTTAATATCTTCCTTTTTTACCATTCTGCTTGAATGGCTCAGTATTAGGAAGCCAAAACGGATTCCAATTCCAACTTAGAGATCCCACTAGATAATGCAAAAGCGACTACAGTCAGAAATCAAACTCCATCTCTCAACAGACAAAAGATCACTTTAAGATGGCAACAATATGCTGCCATGTTATCTAAAGTTATTCATGATATACAGCTCTAAGCCATAGGAAGGTTTTTGCCTATTTCCATTTGCCCCAGATCACTTCAGACAACACACTGGATAACAAAGCTGTGGTGAACCAACAACCAGTAGGTAAAGTGACTGAAGCACTGATTCTCACCATCTCTTAATTATACGACAGAGAAATCCAAATTCAATATGCATCCCAGCTGCAGGCCAGCACCACACAGTCTACCTGAGCTCTCCAGTATTTTCAGAAAATGCTTTGTGTAAGTATTACAGCTTTAAGATACTGTGAACCCTAGTGAGTAAAACAGACATTAGAAGACAACATTTATTAAATCATCTTTGAGGGCATCACAAAGTCATGATGGATTTCACTGGAATGTCTCAAGGGAGGAAAGTATTTGGGGAAATTACTTTGGAAGAGCTGACACACAAAGAGAATAATTTAAATTCCATCAGCAGTCTCTCTAGCATAACAAGTTTAGACTATGGTTTTATACAATAGGATGCGGGAAGAGTTGACAAATGCCTGGAGGAGGGGAGAGGCACAAAAAGCCCTGTAGTCTGTGGCCTGCTGTATGCTTTTCCCCTTTGCGTAGGCCCTACTAGCTACTCATAGAAAGAAAGCCAACGTAGCCTTAGAGCACACAAAAGGCGGGTTGATGTGGACAAGCTCAAGCCACTGCTGAGTACCTGAGCTAGAACAAACCCTGCATTATTCCAGGGAAGTCTACCCCATACACTACTGCTATTTCTGTAGTCAGAGAGAAGAGTATTATCAGTGATGGTTCACCTTAGGTTCGATGCCTGCTAAAGCATAGGTGAAGGGTCCTGAAACAAAAATATGGAACACAGCAAGGTCTTTTGTGTTCTGTGAGGAAAGTGCAGAATCACATACCTCCTACAACTAGTATTGTGCATATATACATCTAGTTAAGGCTATTAACAATACTATTAGAATAGACATACACCTTTAGAGCTGTGAATCAGTTGAGGGAAGAGTACATCCCTGAGTACCACACCTTCCCAGATGATGCTGGTATCATTGGGATTGCTAAAGACAGGACAAGCATTCACCACAGGAGTCCTATTTCAGTACTCAGATTAATAAAAATGCAGGGAAGACTTACACAACTAGTGCTTCAGTTTTTTCTTTTTTGGCTTTGAAAAATAATGTTGCTTCATACAGCTAATGAGAAACAAAGTAAGTGAAGATGGCTGCTGATCGCTGCCTGGAAGCCTTCAGCTAAAAAGTAAGCAGTGTTAGATCCACAAGATGTTTGACTTCTGCTGCAGATAGTGACTCAAACAGCTCCGTGTTTTCCAGCAGGGACTGCTGTTAAGTATTTTCTAACCTGAATCTCCCTCCAGCAAGCATTGATCTGTTATCCTGCTGAATCCTTGACTGCAAAGCACAATGCAGAAAATTCACCTCACTGTTTTAAGTAGAAAAAATGGATCATTAAGGTTGCCATAAGAAATCTCCTATTCAAACCACACTTTACAGCAAACTGAGTTTCTCAGGTTCCACACTGCCTAAAAAGATTTTCCTGTATGTTGTCCTACACTACTCATTAAGAACGCAGTTCCAGTTGCCAACTATAACACGCAACTCAGACCTCTGCACACTTTAACGACACTAGCTGCAACGTATGTACGTTACTGAAAAGCAGACTGAACCTTTGGTCTAAAGACTGGCAGCAAGAAATACTGCATCAGCATGCTCATTCCTTATGCAGAGTCAACTCTACAGACTTCAGTAAGATAAGGCAGATGTCATCATGAATTTGAACAGCTGCGTTATGGTGACAGACCCAGCATCTCACCCCTCACGTGTCTTAAATATCAAAGCACCAATACAGTGCTCACAACATCAGTTCAAAGGTAACAATCAAAAAAACCAGCAGAGTCAACAAAATGTCATACATGAATAGCAGCATCAAATGCTTGACAAATAAAACCCATGGTCAACATTTCTGGGCACCTCCTTTTACTCCGGACCTTGTATCAATAGAGACCAGATCTTAACTAGTCTGTCTGAATTCTACAATAAGAAGGATCACGTTAATATTGATTTGTTTAAATCACCATGAACATGGCTAAAGAACTGCAGTCTCATGAACAATTCATGTTGCAAATTACAACTGCAGCAGTGTAGTGATTTTACTTGACAGTGGAGAGTTTTCCTGGTTTTATGACATATGTAGATAGGCCACAGAGACACTGACACAAGCAAATAAAAATCAATTTGACAATGAAAGAGTTTACTGTAAGCCTCTTCCAGATCATATTTCAACTCAACTGAGAACAGTGTAAGAAAAGTTGACTCAGCTCAAATCAAACCTGGACTGTTACAGAAAGTCTAAGCCAAGCAGGTTTGGTTTTTTAATTATATCAAAACTTTTTGTAGGGCAATTACTTCAACACTTAGAAGAATGCATGCTCTGCTGAGTTTGTTTTGCAGTTCACTTGGTGGAAAGTATTTTACTCTGAACTAACAGGACAGTCTGGAAAAGAAAGTCTCAATTAGCAAACTACTGAGCATGATGAAGGCTGGTGATCCTCCTATTAAGATTTGAGAGATCTAGACACCAAACTTGCCACCAGATTAAGCTAGGCATTTTTTTAAACAAAAGACAGCACATTTGCCTGAATGATTTTGCATAGCAGGCTGGAATAGCTGTTTGTTATTAACCTACCCTGTTACATGTAAGTAGTTATATCCACATAACCAGCTGCGTTCTTTAAAAGAGACTCAAAACTCCAGAGAATCAAATAAGGAAACTACAAGAAGTTTTTGACAGAAGAACACACACTTCTACCACTAACTGCAAAAGAGTAAAATACTTCAGGCATGTAGAGAAACCACAAATACTTATTACATTAAATACTACCTTTTTGTCACCTCAGCAGTTCCTATGCATTGTTTCAGGCAAAGATGCAAATAATACAGCAAATAAACATTCTTGTCCAGGATCATTAACAGTCATTTGCCCCCAGGCTGTCATATGGCAAAAGAGATATTAAAAGTGTACCATTAGTCTTAAGCCACAGCACTGACAACAATAAAGACATCAAATGTACAGTTTGATTTAAAGTAGAATTTTAGACACTAGAACCAAGTAATGCACTCTGACTGCAAACACGTGAAATCTAAGATCACAAAGCTGTAAGACCTACAAGACACACTTATCCAAAGGAAAAAAATAAAACACAGGCACTACACCCTCAAAAAGACAGCGTGGAGAAAACAGACACCTCTCAACTACTGAAGGAAATTCCTCAGCTCCGAGCTGCAGACATTCAGACATCAGTGTGCCAGGACACAGCTTTTATAAATGCCACCTCTGCTCAGGAGTAGAACAGTACAGGTTTTCATCTACTCTTAATGAAGAGAGGTTGCAATTATGCTACAAGCTGGTACCTGGGGAAGGAAGGATCTCTGCTCCTCATCTAACACAGCACTATGGATAAACTGAACATCCAGAAAATGAAAGTATCCCGTGATGACAACAATCAATCAGGGGACAAAACTGAAATTTTTTAATACCGTAGCAACCAACTTCACAAAACTTAAAACAAGATTAGTCGGAAGATCAAAACACTATTTTGAGGCAATATTTCAAATAATAAAGCAATTACCTAGACTTTTTATTCATTCAATTCTTTGGAGTTTATTCTTAGGAAGAACAACCACAAAGCTTTGTAAAAAGTAACAGAAAGTGGTACTCACATGTAGGAAAGCTACACTATGAAGAACATCTAGACATTATCTCTACACTAGGAACAAAAGAGAGCATACAATTTGCCTAGAACAAACTTTTGACAAGTCATTCCACTCCAACGACTACCCAAAACATCACCAGAGCTACAGAGATCTCCTGATCCCTGCAGTGTGAGAAGGAGGGGATACAAGTGAGGAGAACACAATCTAGCTGTACCTGTCTCTACTGTCACAACTGACCAAGTCTTTGCTTTATGATAAATTCAGTTATTTGGCTCAGTAACTCACCTCCCCAGAACCAGACCTCTGCACAACACAGCTTTCTCAGCTCATCCTGAGCCAAGCTCAGACTGCGCACCCTGCATCAAACTTTACTTCTCCCCTTGTATTTCCGTTCCTTCCCTCCTCAGTATTCAGAGCTGCAGCAGGCCAACAGTGCCAGCTCACCAGAGGGAGCAGGCTTATAAAATAATCCCTTTTATTAAGCCAAACATCCCAGGCCAAACTAAAACATAACCAGCTACCACAAGTATCAGCCTGCCAAGAACAGCACAAAACCAAAAACCCCAAAACACTCCACACACACCCAAAATCCACAAAAATAACTCTCTCGGATAAGCAGAAATGCAGTGACTGTTAAGATCACTAAGAACATGAAGAATCAAGAACCTGTGCTTAATGTTCTGTTCACAAAACACTAAGTCCAGGACCTAGCAGGAGACCATCTTACCCTCTAGTCAGCTCACACACTGCTTTAGTAAGATGAAAAGGGTACTTTTAAATATTGCTACATCCTCAGATGAAGGCAGAGGTTGATGCCAAAGTAACCTAAACACAAATCAGACTTTTAAAGTGTATTTATAATTTTACTTTAAGACTTAACTACAAAAGACAGGAGGAAGTTGGGCTTACACTATCTGAACACAAGGAAAAAATGGAACTTCAGAACAAAAATGTGGCTAATCTCAGTTAAGAAACCAAGTCTCAGGAGAAAAAGCTTCAGAGTGTTCCAGCCTCAACTGCATCATTTTCTTTTATTGGTGCTCATATTTTTTCAAAACTTAATCGTCTCAATCCCTTCCTCCTAGGCCCAAGTCATTCCCTTCCACTGACTTCAACAAATCCATCTTCCATTTTATGACTTTTAGAAGCAGAAGGGACCAGTTTTGACCATGCAAATTAATTTGCATCTGCCACAAACCACTGTAAATTCTTCATTAAATTCAGTTTGAGACAGAATGGTATCTGGAAATTTCTAATGCAGATGCACAGGCTTCAACTCATACAGAGTCTAGCATTCAATACATGCTAGACAGTCCAAGAATTAACCTCTTAAAACTGCAACACATTTTTACTTTAAGTTAGCTCAACTTCAACTACAGGTAAGAATTCTCCTTTCTTTCTTTTTCTTCTTAAGGATGTAAGAGTTCTTAAATTCCCATGCCCTGTAGAGGTGGCTTTGAATCATCACCAGGTCAATATCCCTTAGAAAAAAAGGAGGGTATAAGCAAAGCCCTTGGCAAGGCTTAAGGTACATTTTTAAGGTTTCTGATCATTGCCCTTAAAAAAAAAAAAAATCCCTTTGCGTGTTGATATTTGAACCAGATGATAATGCTGTAGGCATTGTAAGAGCATCACTGGAATACTAAGTGCCTACTCCTTTGCAATAGTAATGATTTGAGAACCAGAACAGCCTTCATCCCACAGCCACATATATACAATCCTGAAAAACAGGCAGTTTCCATTCAAAACAGCTCACCTGAACATCACAGAGAATGCCTAGAGGTTTTATGTGACCCAAACAAACTGTAAGTACTGAAGGAGACAGCCAACTCAGTAAACAGTGTTTTCACTATTTACATTTCCTAAAAACTAGGCCACCCCTGTGCTATGTTTAATCCACAGCCCTCAGATACTTACAGCTTGGGACAGGTAAACAGTCCTTTGCTGCCACAGCCCAAACAGCTCAAAGGTACTTAAACTGCCAGCCTCCACTTATGCACAGAAAATTTGTGAGAGCCGGAAATAACGCGAATATGTGCTCAAATATGAGATAATGTCGCATGCTGAGACAAAACAAAACCTTCACCCTTCAACGCAATAAATTACAGAGATATCACCACAAGCCCAGTATGAAAGTCATGATATGATCATTTTCTCTCTTGGAAAATTCACAGCAAGGTGGAGGTACTGAGCATACTGAAAGCATAGCCTTATGCAGTACTCACTGAAGAATTTGCATGCTCTACAATCCCCTGTGGCATCTAAAATTTCCTTGGAAACCTCTCCTGAAGTTACTCTGAAGTATTGTTTCTGTTTGCAAGATCACAGCTCGCAGATAAACAAGTAATAGAAGCTTTCGGCATTGATCCTGTTACCCTGGTACTTTATAAGAAGACACGATATAATTACTTCTGAAACGCTGGGCTAAAGTGTTATTACTACTAATATACCCTAGAATGCTGGAAGTAACTATAAAAAAATGCTGAAAAAATATTAGAGTACAGAGCACAATTTCACTTGCAGATTGTGTTTATGTTTTCTGTCACTAGATATCTAATTAGCAACTCATGACATCACCAGACCTTAACCATTTTGGCTGACATTTTCTACACTATTTGCCACAGGCAGATATTGCTGTGGCTCACTTTCCCATTGTAAATAGAAAGCCATTAAGCCATTTAGCTCATGACAGTGTTAGGAACTAGTTTAACTAACATTGGTTATGCACTTAGATATCGTAATCTAAGTAGAAAAGTCCTTGTGGAAATGAAAAAAATTTGTTTTCAGAATGTGGTTCGAATCTATGTGAGGCCTGGGGCTGCACACTGAACCAGATGTTGAAAATACTTAGGCAACAAGCATCATCCATTCTGTGCATGACTGAGTGTGGAATCTAAAGAAAAAATTAGTATGTGATCCTGTAATTAAACTGTAGAATAATTAATATACACAAGGGAAGGATAACTTCAAATACAAGTAATCTTAATTCAATTTTTTTTCTGTAGTTAATTTTGCACCCTTTATTTTCTTTCACTGTAGGTCTTCTCTAAGCGATATATGGTACAAGGGAAAGCAGAAGTGCAGTATTATTAGCTGATTTTATTCCCCTTTATTAAATGTTAATGTAAAATCTGCAACAAAGAATGCAATTGCCCATTTACTATTCTACAACAGTTCAGCTGTCTTTCAAAGATAACTTC